CTTGAACTTAATAAATTCTAGACAGGATAAAATAGCATATGATCAAGTAACGGATTTGATACACTATGATTGACAATAAATATAATGGTGTGAAAATGCAATAAATGTACGCAATGACAACCAATGTGATGAAAAGGGATCTGTCACCCAACTATCATATGATTAGAATGTCCCTTTTCTTTATCTGCGACGTGGAAAAGTATGAAGTTGGGATGATGTGGAATTTCTCGGTTTATGGATCAAGATAGAACAACTTATGCTTCAATAATATTACCGACAAATAAGAAAACTCTTGGATATTCTCTGTTGTCAACTCTTACAATGTATTTTCTTTCTCCAAGTTCCGAAAAAGAAGAAGAAGAAGCTCCCACTTTCTTTCCTATCTCTTCCTATTTATAAGGAGTATTCCCCGAAAATCCTAAAAAACAAAGCATATTCTTTTTGCCCACTTATGGACCTATTCTCCCGTTACTTTTTCATCTAGGCTGCCTGCTTTTGATATCAGCCTTTGTGATAACGACTTTTAGTCGTTATATCGTGGTCGACCCCGTTCCTTGTCTTACGTGTCCGTTACCGTGGTCACCAAATTCGGACGTATACAATACTAGTAATTAAAATTAAACGACACTTTCGAGCTTGTCCAATTGACCATCTAATTGAACGTGGCATATATATAGAACTAATGCACCCTTGAATTTTAATCAGGATAAATTTAACTATTATAAATCTAGCAGTGATTAAGGTAATGACATCAAATTATCCCTGTGTTAGATTTTGAAATGTTTTGGTGGAAGTGTAGATTTGTTTCAGTCTCCTGTCTCTTGGTTCCTTAAAGGATACACTTATGTCATGTCTCATACTCCAAGCACAAGATAAGCAATTTATATATCCAAAAAGAAATAAAGGAATGTGACAACCCAAAATAACTTATTTTTTGTGTAATTTTGACTATTTGAACTCGTAATATTGTGATTCAAATAGTGACGTCTTTACCACTAAATTGTCATGGCGAAGAGACCACATATATATGGTCGAATACGTCAAATTACTGACAAAATGATCTCTTGTGGCCATTTACAATTTGAATGGAAGAAAATAACCTTTTTCAATATCCTGTGTATTGTTTTCGGATCTCTTATGCGTAAAAATGAAAATTTCTTATAAAAAAAGATATAAAACTAAAAACAAATTATAAAGGAGTACAAATTAATTCTCCCAAAGTTTTATTGTTAACCCCCTTCCCCTCTCTCTCTTACTCGCTTCGGTAAGTAATATTTTCTTTCGCGATTTCTTGTGTAACTTAAAAAAAAATGAAATTGGCTTAAATAGTAGACTTTAGTTACTTCATGTTATGGATAAGATTAGCAAATGGCTTGTTCCTAATGAGCTGACAACTAATATTTCTTTTTCTTTCTTTTTAAATGGGCTGACATTTTATGAATTCCAAATAAACGTTACCAAAAATGAAACTTTGGTTTGAGTCAAAAGACATAAACATGTGGTTTAGATCATTCTAAATAGTTGACCTTTCCTCTGCAATCTTTAACACATAAAGTCAGAGATGTTTGACTTTAATTTATTGTGAGCAAATTAATTTTGATCATTTGCATATCCCACATTCAGATGTGGAAAGAACAAATACTACTAGTACTTAAAATTATTCTTGTTCAGATCTATATGCAATATATCTAGTATTCATATGTTTATAAAGATTTCAGAAGTTTTAATTTTAATAAAAATAATGGGACTTAAGTTAAGCTTCCTAAGAGGTTGACATTTTTAATTTATATTTTTATTTATATGTTAATCTGTTTTTGCCAAAAAGGAAGTAGAGAGGAGTTGTTCTTACTATAATGTCATATATATATATAGTAAGAACAAGTGGAAAAGTCATTATGCTTCGAGTTGGCCACCTTCCAAGCATTTGGATGCACACACTCACGAAGTGCATTAATTTATCCTTTTTAAATAGAAATTAATTCAGATCTCATTAACTAGATTCCTTTATATTCCCCAATGTAGTATGAAAATAATATGTTCCATGTGATCAAGCTCGAATTTTTTTATTTAATGGAAGTGATTTATTTGTCAAATGTAATACTCTCTCCGTTCACTTTTACTTGTCCACTTTCGCATATCAAGAGAAAAATATTTTCTTTTTCATGTTTTGCCCTTAGCATTAATTACTCGTTCTAAATTATTTTTCAAATCCATTAAGACTATACACCAATTAATATGGGTATCATAGTAAATTATGTACTTTATTTATTATTTATTAAGGGATGTGAAAAGCCAAAAGATGACAAGTAAAAGTGAACGGAGTGGCTATTTTGGTTTGACTCTAAAAACAAAACTTCTTTTTACAGCTTTAACAAAACTACTAAAAACAAGATTCACAAACTTCTTTTTAACAACTCTTTTATTTATTTTTTTCAACATCCACCGAACCATTGTCCAGATGCCTACAAAGATAATTTGTTACACTCCGAATTAAAATTTAAAAAAAATAGAGTTTGACTAAAAAACCAGGACCCAAAAAAAGCCTTCTCAATTGATTTGACAAGATGAGAAAGGAATCTTCAATCTGGTTCATAAAAAGTTCCCTCTCCTTTTCCCGTTCTTTGGACCAGTGAACATCAACGTGGCAAAATAAATAAAAAAACAATTAAATTATCAACTAAAAATAGGTCAGATATGGATAAGATTCATATTTTTCACTTAAAAAAAGGATAACAAATGAATAACCAATGGATTTAATTTATACATTTGCAAAAACTCAAATTAGGGATTCCTCAAGTTTGGGAGACTTGGTGGTTGTTTGTACATAAGAATTGTGAAATTCCAGGAAAAAAAACAAGTGAAAATAATATTTGAAAATTAGAATAGTATTTGACCATGAATACAATTTGGAGCTGGTTTTGAATTTTTGTGAGTGATTTGAAGTGAAATTTTTAAAAACTTTTTTGGAGTTTCGCAAATTCCGACAAATTCTGAAATTCAACTTCAAGTAAAATATGAATTTTTTACGGCCAAACACTATTCCCAAAAAAAGTATAAAAGTATATTCAGGAAAAATAAATGAATTCTTTTTATGGCCAAACGGGCCCTTGGAATTCTCCCAAAAATGATCATATATGCAGGTTAACTCATTTTCTATCCGTATTAAATATGGATCAGGTCAGATAATTTATCTCTTTTGTATTACCCATTTTCAACCAGCGTATATTCGACCCGACTGTTTGCCACCCTAATTACAGTTTTAAATAAATTCGACCCGACCCGACCGTTTGTCACCCTAATTACAGTTTTAAATATAAAAAATTAGGAGTTGCTTTGTTACAGGAATTGGGTTTATCTCAGTATAAAATTTAATATTTATTTTTATCGTGTCTAGTTGTGGATATTAGGTAAAACCAAAATAAAATTTATACCAAATCATGGAATTATTATCCCATAGCGAAAGAAAAATTATAATATCATGGTTATAATACGAGGGCACCAACAATATAATCCTAGAATAACCTGATTTTGAACCACTTGACCCTAATTAGCTAAGCAATGACGCAGATCAAAGCTTATGAACTAGATTACATTATATCCCCCATGTAGTGTGTATATATATATATATATATATATATATATATATATATATATATTTCATGTGATACAGCTAGAATTTTCTTGTTTAATGGAAGTGACTTATTTGTTAAATGTAGTACTTATCATGCTTTGACTCTAACGCAGATTTAACAAAACTACTAAAAACAAGTTCCAGAGACTTCTTCTTAACAACTCTTTTTCTTTTTTCAACATCCACCGAATCATTGTCCAAATGCCTACAAAGATAATTTGTTACACTACAAATTAAATGAAGTCTAGAGCTTGACTTAAAAACAAGGATCCAAAAAAGCCTTAACAATTGATTTGACAAAATGAGAAAGGAACGGGTAAAGTCGTTGTCATGTGACCAGGAGGTCACAGGTTCAAGCCGTGAAAACAGCCTCTTGCAGAAATGCAGGGTAAGGCTGCGTACAATAGACCCTTGTAGTCCGGCCCTTCCCCGAACCTCACGCATAGTAGGAGCTTAGTGCATCAGGCTGCCCTTTAGAAAGAAATTTTGAATCTGCTCCTCTTTTCTTCTCTCTTTTTTCGTTTTAAAGGAGAAAAAAATCTGGAATATAGCTCAAATGAGTATAACAAATACATAGCACACTTTTAAACTCCAGGAGATGATGTATTTCAGCTCTTTATGGCTGGAAACAGCTCAATAATTTATCTTTTTCTTTTATTTTGAGGAAAATAAGAACTTTATCATATTCAATATGGTGTTGCTCTAAACAACCAATTCAAAATTGAAACGTTGGTCAATTGATGAACAATCAGGTAAGTCTTACTGAAAGCCACATTTTATTATACATTAAGAAAATTGAAGAACTCATCTTCAAGACTTGTGATTTGAGAATGAGATAAAACTCCAAACAAAAAGACCATTGAACCATTTCGATGTCAGTCATAGACTACTAATGCTCTGGTATAAATTTGATGACTGGTTCAGTAAATGACTATGGCAAAGTACTAAACGAAGTATATGGCAAAGTACTAAACGAATAAAAATTATGGGTGACAGAGCTTTAGGATATAGCAAAATCCACTTTCTAAAAACATATATGGATGAAAAAGCTTTGAACGAGGTCTTGCTTCCCTCAAGTGTCTATTTTCTTTTCTTTTTTCCAGAAGAATATTTGCCTTTGAGTTTGAAACTATCTATCACTTATATAACCCAAAAATGAAAACCACCCACAACCAAAAAATTTAAGCTCTTACTTATAGTCCCTGAACATATGTTGATAGTTGGCACTTTTAACAAGTCTGATATGGGGGTTACACAAGTACATTTTATATTTACTAATAGAATGAAAAAATTGTACGGGGAAGAACATATGTAATGCATCTGAAATTTTCATTGTTAGGAAGGTGAACATTATTTCAACGCAAAATCACAAACTAAAAACTAAAGGAAGATATTCATTATCTACAGCCCTTTTGTCTATATATTTCCATCAACATGTACTTTGTGCTCTGTGGAACACTGAGTAATTACAAACAACAACAACAAACCCAGTAGTTTCCCACAAGTGGGGTCTGGAGAGGGTAAGATATACGCAACCTTACCCCTACTCCAGGAAGGGCAAAGAGGTTGTTTCCGATACATTGAGTATTACATAATATAAAAAGCCTCTTAATTCAACTAATTACTTTACACGATAGCACTTGATGGCGTAAACTAGGTATGTCAATGGCTCGGGTAGATCTTGTACATGGTATGTACAGGTCTATGCCTAATGTAATTTCTCTAACCTCAAGACAACCGATTAATTGTATGAGTGTGAGTATCCCAATGAGAAGAATAGCCTGCTCCATTCAATAATGATACTTATACATCTTCGACCAATATGAAACTAATGCACTTTCTCTGCCTCCTCGAAATGACTATATGGGAGAGAGTAAAAGTTTACATCTGTGAGAAATCACCGCAGAAGGATATGGAAAGAAGAAAAAGCTCAATTGAGGCAACAATTAAAGTAATCTGGTTATCCAAGATCCACTCTTCTGCATTTCGTTCCATTTTCCAACAAAGTGACAAACATTTGGAGCTTACTTATGAATTCTAAAAGATTTAAATAGCTTACAGAATGTATGAAGTTAAAATAAACTTACATTCAAGGGCTTAAAGAGGAACTGACCCATAGAAAACTACCTCTGCTGGCCCCGTCATGTAGATATGGTTGTCTTTCTCACTCCACTCAATATCCAGAGGCCCACCAGGTAAATCAACAGTACACCGCTGTTACCAGAATGGGAAAGGGCAATGATCAAAAAGGAGTAATCAATAACGAAAATAAATATATGGGACAGACACAGATAGACATACTTGACATGATTTTCGTTTTTACAACATTAACCTATAAAGGTTATCAACTTCTTACCCTTGCAGCACGATCCTCGAGCACTGCTGCAACAACAACGGCACAAGCTCCTGTCCCACAGGCTAGTGTCGCACCTATACTCATCAAGGTTAATTATAAAGTTATATTTCACAGATAACTTGGCCTATCTAATACATCAAATATTTGTGGATTAAAGTTATTTGTGTTCAGAAAACAAACCTGCACCACGTTCCCAGACACGCATCTTAAGGTGTGTTGGGGAGAAGACTTGTACAAATTCTGCAAATCAAACAAATATGTCATATTTAAATAAAATTGTAGGGAAAATTCTGATCAAACAGTCATAACGTGCACGTAAGTTTAATCTTTCTCTATCTATATCCATGGCAGGAAGTGCATGAAGCTACAGAAATTGAGTGCAATCCCAATCAGGGAGCTACATCTTGAACATAAATGACAAACTTGAAAATTACTTGAGTTCATTCCCCTTATAGCTAAAATGATGTCGGAAGTGCACCTAAAGTGCAGATCCCACCCAAGAAAGTGCTAACAGAAACGGATGATGCATGCTGAATGACAACTACTCAGTCACTTTAGATCGGAAATGATAATCTAGTTCAATAACCATGAATGGCTTGCAAAGTGGAGTACAGAGAGCCAAACTGATTAACTAAAAACAGAATCTCGGGTATTTTTGCTTGCATTCAATCTTCATTTCTTTCCAAAGCCACAATGCCACATTATATAATAGAAACTAATTCTGCTATGTTTAGTTTTAAAATCCCAAAGGAAAGAACAATAATGTTAAAGAACCAGGGTCCATAACCCCTAGATTTAGGAGATTCCAAATGAAAAATCATGCAAATTCAATCGCGACAGGGATGAGATAGAGATACCAAAAATTCTTGTTGTGAGGTTCAAAATCTTTTTATAACTAGAAAATAATAATGCTGTCGTGAAGATCATACTCCTGCAGCATTAAAGAGATTAAGTTCCCAAATTGATAGATTTAAACTGACCTGTGTTAGTGCGAGCAGGGAACATCACATGATGTTCAAACTTTGGACCAATGTCTGATAAATTCAATTCATCTACTTGCAAATCCTGTTGCATGATAAGCAGAAAAAGAAAAAGCAATCAAGACCAGAAATTGAGAGGGAGACACAAGACTGTCAAATGTTTCTGTTTTCTATTTCTGTACAAGCAGAAGCATACTGTCAATTAACGAAAGAATATATCAGATAACCACTAAATTCTTAGAATAGGAAAATGAAATGACTAGTTTTCATGGGAAAAAACGAAATTAATATCCAAAGAATATTTTACACCAGTTCAGCAAGAAAATAACAGAACAACTGACTTGATTTCTTAGATAAAATATGAGATTTTTAAGAAGCTGATTTACAGAGTGAAAAGCTTGGTACAATGTTTAGTGCAACAATCTTCAGTTGTTCATTTCATAGAATAGCTTATTGAATCCTTTAAGGATAACAGAAATTTTCACTTAAAACAAGTCATCAAATCAATGGTAGCACTATCAGCCTTTGGTTCCACATAAATGATACCAAATAGAATTAATCCAAAGAAGGATACCTGGCTTTGTGATGTACCAAAAGTGACACAATGAGGATTTCCCATACTGACACAGGTCACATTCCATGCACTTCCATCTACATCTAGTCTTGCTTTAACAACAGATTGATCTTTATTAGGGGGTAGTTTCGTGGGTACATCTGTTGCCTTCAGAATGGGTTCACCCATGTCAACCCTAACCTGAAATTAGAAGCAAATATTAAATCTCAACAAAAAGGCAAACACATGTGATTGCTTTACTATTTAATGCAAAGTAACCTGACATAAATCTTAAAAGGAAGAATAAAACATCAAAACTGAATGCTTATAGCGTGCAATAGTTCCTACAATCAGTCAATCAACTATACCCAAACTAGTTGGGTTGGCTATGTGATATTACACATCCCTGCTCAATCCATGCAATAGCGCTTTAGTCTACTTAAATGGATGAGAAAAATGGATTTACCTTTCCATCTTCTTGAATCTCAGGAACAATAAGTCCAGCCCCTGTATGTATGGTGAAACTACAAGATTAAAAAGACATGACAACCAATCAGAATCCACTATTTACCGAAACCATTTTCATCAGATGCAATCAAATGCTATTATCACATTTAGGCATATAACAGGACAGGTGGGCCATACCAATTATATTGACAGTTAATCAAACCTATCAAATATAATAATCTAATTAAGCGCACTGAAAAACAAGGTGCAACAATGATTTTAATATGGTGATATATACCAAATATGATGTTAACATAAGAAACACGCTACCATGTATCCTCACCAAAACCGAAGAGAATATGTAAAGACAGTAGAGTGGACAGTAGAAATTGTGAACTAAGCAACAACCAGAGATTCATATGATGACCATGGTACAATAACTACCTCTCTCTAGCATCAGCTCTAGGCCTGGTGGTCTAGCTAACATGACTGGGTCTTACGGGTGATCAACAAACCTTTACTTTCTCCCCTTTCAGCTTACTTAACGGGCCTGATAATATTTCACAGTTACCCTTGGCAGTGAAAAACAAACAAGAAGAAAAAGTGACACCATCACTTTCTAATATAACTATTGCCCATAAAGAATATCTGCTTCAATCACCCAATCTGGCTCTTGTTTTGAAGTGCTTCTTAAAGTCCATGATGCCACCCTCCCAACGAGTCACAGCCTGATTGTCACATACCCATCTCATTGGCAACCGGGTTTATGAGCCTAAAACCATGACTAAAACTAGAACCACTCCACCCTGCATTCAATGCCTCAGCAAGTGAGTCAATTGTCTCAATAACCAGATGGTAGGTTGGCTCATTCTAACAGAAGCATGTGAGGTTGCCTATAAGCCAACCAAGCAAACATCACCGGACAACGTTGACCATCTGACAAGTTCTTCATGGCATTACTTGAGCTTTACCTGTGAGGCCAAACTTTCCAATTGCTGCCCTCATCCCCTCATCATGTACTAAAGAGCTGACATTTCCATGTCTCGCTTCTCAGCCTAGTGCTGGTGGTACTGCGCAATTTTAAGATGATTAACCATGCCATCAGTGAGAATTAAAGCCCATATCATCAACTTAAGTAGTATGCTATTTCCAGCTCCATTAGGCCCCACAATTGCTATCCTGGAGTCAAGATCTACACCAAAATCAAGATTGTTGTAGATGAGGTTATCAGGTCCTGGTTTTCTAGTTCTCATGGTCTAGCTAACATTGCTAGGCATGCACCAGTTTCTAGAACCAAATAAGCAAGTTTAAAGAAGCTTCAATTTCCCCCGGAGTTTTCAATACAAAGAAACAAATAAAAGAAAGTAAATTCTAAAACATAAACAAAAAGAATGTAGAGACCTTTGCTTTCCACGGGAGTTCTCAAGCTCAGCTATAAATTTGGCAAGGCATCGAATTCCATTACCACACATCTGTATTTACACAAAGGATATATTGTTAACAACCACAAATTTCAGCTCAAATAGATTGAAAGTTAAAATTTAAAAAAAATAAAATAATTAAAAGTTCTAACAAAAAGGGCATCTTTTCATCGCTGTATAGATGAAGATACGAATGGTCTATCAGGCTTCCTTTCATTCTATATCAGAGAAGGGAAAGGAAAAAACATGGACAAAGAAGGAATGACCTAACAACATATTCAAGTGATTTTCTGTTTCATGAAAATTGTGTCATTCAATTCTGTTTTTTATTCCATCAGAAAAGGGTCATATTTAGCTGGAAGCACAATTCTTCTGATCTTTTAAAATCTTTTTATTTTCCTTGCCAAACAAGAAAAGCAACACTGGAAAAGAAACATAGGCTGCATCCAACTCGTAAGATGAACAATGAAATGGACAGAAGACTAGATTCAACAGATCTCTATATTATGTCTTAGAAATCATGGCAAGAATTGAGGAATAAACCAAAGTAAAATTGAACAATAGCATTCATACAAGGCACTAATGCAAGTTTGTCTTCCAAAATGAGCAAACACGGACTCGTGTGAAGTTTCCAGGTGCAAGAGCGGAAGGTGTAAGACTTGTGCAGACCTTTTCTTTGAGAAAATTGTAAGTAAGACTTGCCTACACCTTGAAATTCGGATCTGATCAAGGATAATATTTTCACACAGGTGAAATATATGGTGTTTTGCAGTTTTGCTTCTCTTATATTCCCAATATATAAGTTCCATAAGGTATTAGGTCAGTCCAGATTGACCTTTAGCATATAATCCATTAGTGTTTTCCCCCCTAAAAAACTATGCCGTTACTATGCTCTCTTTTCTTTTCCAGAATATGAATTTTCACCGTAAGTCCCAAAGAGAGATTGTGAAAATAACTGGTTTAGACCTCACTCATGACAATCCCCAATCCTATAAATATTTTCAGCTCAAGTTCACACTGTTCATTTTTCTTTTCTTTTTTGCCAAAAGTGGAACATTTGATGTCTTCTCTCTGACTTGAGGATCGTAACCTCAAGTCCTTCGCTTTGTACTTAAAAAATTTCAATACCTCAAGTCCTTTGCTTTCCTTGGTGACTCAAACCCCCAATCTCATGGTTGGAGCCTTGGAGGTGGAGGGTCCTTTCCACAATACTATACCTCCCTAGTCACTAACAAAATTAAATAAATAAATAAAACAAAAAAAGTTGTGTACTCATTCACCACCTATCTCTGACTTAGATCATGAAAAGGTATGTGTCCCTCTTCAGGGACAACACATTAGTACTAGAAAGTGATTAAATAGGTGTATAATCATCTTCCTGGGTGTAAAGACGTTCTATTTAAATGATCTTACCTTGCTTGAATGTTGACCAAGTATATTCGTATAGATTTGCAATTACTTTTCTGGCTTCCATTTATTTAACTAGTTGATCGGGACAGCTCACTTAGAGGAAGTGAAAAGTTCGCACAAATGGGGAGGGGACGACTTAGCTGTTTGCTTCCTTGGAAAAGTATGTTGAATTACCCGCACTGGTGTAATAACAGGTTAAAGATGGGTCCTACTATTGACCCAGTTACTCCAGCCACATTGAAGAGTTCAGGTAGCATAAACAATTCCTACCCACAACATAAGTATACACAACAATATAAAATAAGTATACCTAGAAAGCACCAGTATTAAACTAGGCATACACAATAAGGTAATTCTATACATGTGGTGCAGGCCCGGGCAAGAATGTATTGCATAGGGTCCTAGAAAATGAAGACTTCACTAGTCTTCTAGTGTAATGTTGTGTCAACACCCAGTCACTCCAGCCATATTAACGAGTCCAGGAAGCATATAACATTTGCACACAGCACACACGTACAGAACAAAGTAAAATAAGTATGCCCCAAAAGCACCTGTAGCAAACTGGAAATAAACGAAAAAGCAATTTGTAGCTCAGGCAAGAATCTATTGCATATAGCGTGTCAGAAAGGAATTCTTTAAATCTTCCAGTGGACTCAACTATCGAAATGAACAATCAGAAAGAAACAGAAGTTGGTATGAAACATACAAATAAATTTGAGGACTACTAGATATATGCAAACTTTGCAGCCAATTATACTGGTCATCTGATTACATGTCATAGCATTCTAATACTGTACCTGAGGACTGCTATAAGCATAATACTTTCCTAACTTTCACGCAGTAGCTACGTAGAAAACAAGATCCAACAACCAAGGTACGGCTGACAGAAAGTTGGACAAAAAAGAAAAGAAAATAAGAAACATAGAAGATAGATAGAGACTGGATGAAAACAAGATAGTTTCAACCACAATTCTCTCCTTATATCTATCATAGATTGGCACAAATGTACACAAACATGCAACTTCTAGAGGTAAAAGATAAGCCAAATTAATCCTTCCAGAGACAGAGATGCAATCAATTTTAAATTTCAGGAACATGCAATATTACCTCTGGCTCACTTCCATCTGAATTGAAGATCCGCATGGTATAATCAGTGCCATTGACACCCGGCATTGCAAATATCACGCCATCAGCACCAATTCCGAAGTTTCTGTCACATAGTTTCACAGCTTGATCAGGACTGACCTTAGGTTCTGTTGTATCTCTATTGTCAACCTGCTCAAACAAGCATGGATTAGAAGAGCATCTAATCAAACACCGAAAATAAAAGATCAAAGACCAAAGAACTAAGCAAATCATGACTATTTTCCTCTGAGTTCATGCTTCTACGCGTGCTTCTCCAAACACTAAACCATCACAGTCATGGACAGTTAATTACGATTCACAAACATAGGATTCCTTTTATAAAGTGTAAGTATTACAGGCATGGGATTTTTTTTCTCCAGACCTTAAAATGTAAGCTCATTCAAATAAGTAATATACCAAAGTTTCAACATTTAAAACTGTCAACTTTTATTTAAACAAAGCCTCATTTGTTGAGGCTTTACTCTAGCAAAAAGACTCAAACTTTTGAGTCCCAAACCAGTACTTAGATTTACAAATCCCAACTGTATCGAGAGTTTTAAAACTAGCTAAGTCATTTTCTGCAATTCTGCATCTTTCCAACAAACACCAAGACCAATCAATCAACACCTTGAGATATTACAAACAAGAAAACTAAGAACTTTGAGATATATTAAATGAGAATAAGATGACCTCACCCCGTTCAGTCTTGGCAACAGGAAAAACATAAATCAGCAACCAACAACGCCTCAATCCCAGATTAGTTGGGTCGGCAACGCGTACCACATAATTAAATTAAAGATATTTGAAGAAGGATAAATAGTGATATGAGCATTATCTGAAACTTTAGTTACAGAGGAAGGACAAAACTACAAACCGGTGAAAAACTGTAACTTTGCATCACAAAATAAAAGCAGTTGACCAAGATAACGAGGGAAAAATGCAGCAAGTAATATCTCTTAAATTCACATCATTTTTTCAAATTCCTCGCAAACTAGAAAAAGTATTATTCGAATTGAGCATTGCATATATATCTGTATGTATTGTGTTTTGCATTACCAATATGAAGTCGTTGCCGAGGCCGTGGTACTTGACGAAGTGAAGAATGTCGCTTTCCTTACGGTCAAGGAAAGAATCTGGAGAACCTTTTTCCGGAGCTTCGATTCTCATTGAAGATGCCGCACAAATGCGGAAATTAGGGCACTGTGTTCCTCTACCGGCGGCGATTTTGAGATATTTTGGCTGTGCAGTTAAAGGAGAAGAAAATCGAATGGGATTAGCAGAAGCAGAAGCAAGAAAACGGCGGCTTGGGGTTGTGAGAGGCAACGTAATTGCGGCGGCGATGGCCATTGGAGTTGCTGAGGGAGGAGCTTCAAGGAGAGTGAAAAATGAGTTTTCATGCCGGAAGCTTTTTAACCTTTTTTTCCTTTTAATTTCGGCTTTAATTTTTAGCTACTGGTAATGTATTGTAAATTCTATTCTATTTTCTACAGTCGACATCCGGAGGTAAAATTCCTATTATATATATATATATATATATATATATATATATATATATCATATAAAGTTATGATATATAATTGACATTATGGTTAAGCCAAGTGGCAAGCTAATAAATGTCAATAGTATATGATAACTTTTTTTTATATTTGACTATTTTAATTAAATACAAATATAATATAATATAATATAACAATATATATATAGATATATATATATATACGGAATTTGAATTACAATATAATTGAATTTATAGATAAAGTTCTAAAATTTGAATTTTAATTAAAAATAAAATTTATCTTTTTTATCATGTTATCATATTTAATTCGGTTAATGATCATATGCAATCATGTTAGGAACAGTTTGTTATTTTTTCTAATTATTTAAATACTACTTCGCCTCTTGCAAAAAAAAAAAAAAAAGAAAACTACTCCATATAACTATAAAACTCTTTCACATTTAAAATCCTATAAGTATAGTTCTTTGAAACACTGTAGCGAGATTCGAATAAAACGAAATTCTTTTAAAATAAATGTAATATATAGGGTACACGTCTATGTTTATCTAAATAACAAAAAAGAGTTTACAAAACCAAATAAAAGTTTACTTACATATATAATAAAGTAAACATACATGCTGGAGAAAGAAACATCACAAAATCAGTCAATATTAAAAAAAAGTTGTTTCTTTTTTCTTCTTGAAGAATATTTGTTTGAAGAGTCAATTTGCATAAATGGACATCAAACAAATAACAAAACTTTGGATATACAATTGCTATCATTAATTTCAATTTAGCACATTCAAGGAATTGAAGCATATAAGCTGAAACCCCTTCATTTAGCTGTAGTCAAGCCAATATTGCAAGGGTATAATATTTTTTTCATTGAAGAATATTAGTTTTGAATCATTAGATTATGTGAAAGGTTTTTTTTCAAACGCAACAAGAGAGAAATTGGCTTCTAATTGATAGTTTCTATAGCGACTTTTAAGTGTAACAAAGAGATATATATAAAGAAAAATTGGTACGACGTGAAATATTTTTTTTAAATGTAAACAAATTATTTCAAAAAAACTCTTTACTTTTTTTAATTCAAAGATAATAAAAAGATAAGATATCTTTGAACATTAGTAGAGAGTTTTAATATTATTATAAAAGGAACTTATATCATGGATAAACTAAAAAAACTGAAATCTTATGGAATATTTACATAATATCCGGTCATATTTATTGTTTACTTTTATAGCTAATATAAATAGATGATATACCGAAAACACACGATTATACACATATTATATATGGATTACATATAAAGCACACATCATTCAATTTTTTAATTTAAGTGGTCGGTGAGCACCTATTTAGGCTGATTAGATAAAGCCAAAAGAAAAATATGAAATAATTTCAACCAAAGACTAAAAATATAATTAAAGTTCATATGTAGACAATTTTTATTAAAACTCATCCTTTTATAGTGAAATAAATTAATTTTTATAACAAAAGAAATAATGACATAAAAAATAAGATAAAAGAAAATAAATATTAAAAAAATGTTAAAAAGATCTAAAAAACGAGAAATAAAAGATGACAACAAATTTCTTCTTATGTTTCATCTTTGTTGTGTATAAAAAATTTGAAAGTTAATCTCATCGATTTCAAATATTTTTTTTTTCAACTCAAATATATAGATTATAAGATAAAGATATCTTCGAATATATTTTTTTAATTTACATTATGTGTCATTTTTAAAAGTTCACTATTACTAACAAACTGATATGATATTCGAATTTGAAGATAAACTACTTGACAATTTTAAGACAATATATGCAATGTTTTTATAATAATAATCAACTAATTTAACGTTTAATGATTCAAAGAACAAATTTTTGTATATATAGGGTATTAAATATTTAAATTCTGGGGCTAGAGATATCGATAAACTTAAAGTGGAGTCATTCTGAAATAAATCCGGCCAAAGAATTATTTAAATTTTTAGATAGCCGGTTAAAGTGAATTTTAAATTAAGGATAATATCTCACTTGCATCATTATAAAGATAATCAATATCATAATATATATATATATATATATATATATATATATATATATAAAGTTTTAGAAACTGAAATTTTAAGAAAGAAATATTTTTTAAGAGATATCAACACACCAAGTAAGAGTTCAAGTAATAGTAAAAGAGTTAAGTCTTATCCAAAGAGTCATTCATTGTCTCAACATTTGATTGTTTTGCCATAAATATGAGTTATTATTTTGCTTCCTTATTATTTTTAGGATCCAATGACACCGGCAAGAATAGTATCAAAAAAGAAAATAGAATAAATGGTTAATTTTTTCATGTAGTTAATATCCAATGATTATCTATATTTATTGAGAAAGTGTAAATTTTAAGATTATTTACATACAATCCAAATAACTTAAATATTTGACATGATTAGTGTCCACGCATCCGCGCGGGTACTAATACTAGTTTGTGTTGTTCAGGGAAAAACTATTTAGGTAATTTTGCTTCACTGCCGCCACTCAATTTGGCTAAGCTTAATAAGCCGGTCAAACTAGCTTATGGACTGTTTTCGGCTTATTTACGCGTTTGGTATAGTTAAAATTGTTTATAAGCCAAGTGCTTATAAGTTAAAAATAAGCCAAAAGCCATAAACTGGTCACCCCCAGCTTATGAACTTTTAACTTATAAGCACTTTAAGTTTGACCAAGATTTTTACTATTTTATCCTTAAAATATTTTTTTTAGAACAAAACTCCTACATGGATACTCATATTCAACCTAAAGCCCCCTCCCCTCCTCCCCCAGCTCTTCAAGTATGCAATTCTCATTGACTATTTAAGATAAGCAAATTTTCTATTCCTTTGTATACTTATATCTATGTGATTGTGTATTAATCTTTGAACTGTATGTAATAAATGAGGATATATTAAATTTTTAGTGTATTACTTTGTAGGTGTTGTGGTGATGAAGACAATGTTTCTTTCTATTCAAATAATTTGTACTATTTAGGTTTATTTTTTATCGAGAAATTTTTGTCAATTTATTAATTATTATATAACTTATAATTTGTTCCTTTGTCTTCTTGAGCCGAGGGTCTTTCGGAAACAACCTCTTTACTCCTTCGGAATAGGGGTAAGGTCTGCGTACACATTATCCTACCCACACCCCACTAATGGATTTTCACTGGGTCATTGTTGTTGCTTATTATAAAATAAATTATATTTATCATAAAAATTATCTTATCTAAACACGGTTATATTTAAAATAAAATGACAAATAAAATATTTTGTATTTGAACCGATATGAAATCTAAAATTTTAAAGAAATTACGCTCTTATAAGTATAAATAGTTATAAAATTATTTAAATAATTCTAAGGGAAAAAGAGATTATAGCACTTTTTTATCAAATATAGTAACAATTTATTGTCAATTTCTCACTTGCATCCAAACAACTAACTGCTATTTATTAAATGTGCTTATATGTGCTACTTCAAATCACCCAATCCAAGGCTCTTAGTCGCTTAATCCTTGTCATTTTTACTGTGCTTTTTTGCTTTCATAAATTGAATAACAATTCCTGAAATTTAAAGTGATATTTTTGACAGGAAATTGAGGTTTTTGCTGAATTTTTCGCAGTTTCACATTTGCTCCACTACGATAACCACAGGTTAGTTTTACTGTTCTATTTCTTCTCCTTCGTGTGGGTGACTCTGATTATTTTGTTTCAAGGTTCTTCTTGGTTTATTGATCGCGTTTTTGTTGTTTGTGAAACTCAAAGAATTGCTTGAAAAGAAACTGGGGTTTTGGCCAATTATCCGATAATTTTCTATCTTGGTTTGTATTTGAAGGTTTTGTCATTTTTAAATCGGGGTTTTGAGAATGGATGAGCCTCTGACTTTCTTATATTTCAGCCATATTTCTAATCTGCTTCTCATTTATTTCATTTGGTTTGTCTGCGTCTATGTGAAAAATTAGTTAGCTCTTCATTGTTGGAAGTTTGTGTATTAGCTTCACTGAACTTAGTTACTTATCTGGTAGATTGCACACGAAAGCACAATAACACACACACAAACTCTCATTCTCTCTCAATAGTTTTGTATAGACAATTATACATATGCAAATACATATATTCTTTTTCATGGTTGTACTTAGATATGATTTGCTGATGCTAAACATGTTTAAAGCTAATGAATCACCAACTCTGCCCTGAAGGCCAATTCACAGACTATATTCAATACTTGCAAAGAAATTGTTATTTCATCTTTCCCCAAATTTGCAATAGGTACAAATGCTTTTATGCTCTTCCAGATTCTGCATTTAGTTCGTTTTGGTTGTTTTAAGGTACTAAAGGATTTTACTTTATTTAGGTGCTGCATTTAATCTAGTTTATCGTTTGTTCATGTATAGTGTATCATTTTGTTAGCTCACTTGCTAGAGAGTTGTTTTAGTTAGATAGGTCCTCTTTCATGCCTGGTTACATTGTGAGTTCTTTCTACTATTTCTGTTGCATTCACTCTTGTTTCAAGTTTCTCAGGTTATCCATTCGTCTTCTTCTGGTTTTCTTATAGTATATCTCTATTTTCATCCTCTTAGTTAAACTAACGCATTCCTGTCACTGCCAGTTAGGACTCCATGTGTTTAGGGTAGCCTTGCTATTGAATCAGTATAGCACACATTCCTATTGTTTACTTTAGATCATCTTCTGTTCATCTTAAGGTTTAAATGTTTAAAACGATACTTAAACAGCTCTTGGTTTCCATAATAATTACTCATGGAGGATTCTTCTAGCTTCAGGATATAAAATTCTTAAGCGGACTCTTATATTAGGTATTTTTCATACTATTCATCCTTGACTATTAATAGTTACTACTTTTCATGGTTATACATTTGTTGAATTACTTATTTCATTGGGGAACATGCAGTACCATAAAAATACCAGTTAAGATTTTGCATGTGAAGAATTTAAGGTGACCAACTTGAGGAAAAAAAATTATTATCTGCTCTTGAAGTTCTTTTCTCCACATTTATTAGGTATTTAAGAATAGGTCAATGTCGTTCGGAAGGAAAATCACACCTTCATCGGCATTTTAACTCCATCAGAAAAATAGTGAATTCATATGAAAATGAACGAGTACAACTCTTCCGTAGTTTAAGACTGAATCTCTGTTTTGTTGAGTTTTTTCCCTTTTTACTTATCGCTTGACTCTGTTTCTCCTTTCTCCTTTCTCCTTTACGCCCCGTGCATTATGTGTCATGTCTTCCTCCTTGTTTTCTGTGCTTATCAGCTTGAACATCCAACTTATCTTCTCATTTTTGTCTTTTAAAAATTTATAAGAAGTATTTTGTATGGATTAACTGGAACTTTTCTCATATACTGAATATGAATCGCTTAATAGTTGAAAGGGTTTAATATATTTTGATATTCTAACCTATTAATCATCAGTTTGTTGGAGCCTTGGAGATGAGACAACATACGTTCTTTCCTTAGGATTGGAAATATTTGTTGGTGTTGATGAGACACCAGACCTATGAGAATGAGGCTCTACCATTGATATTTGATATATCAAATAAGGCTATTGCAGGTACTCCCACAAGATTTACTTTGCTTTATGATCATCCTTTTGTTGGTGAGCTTGTGGTTAATAATATTATGTTAATAAATAATTACTTATTTAGTACTCCCTCTGTTCCAATTTATGTGAACCTATTTCCTTTTTGGTCCGTTCCAAAAAGAATGACCCCTTTATGAATTTGGTAACAATTTAGCTTAAACTTACAATTCTACCTTAATGAGAAGCTTTTATAACCGCATAAACACTCTGGGCCCCTTTTAGACTTGTTTAGGACCATAAATTCCAAAAGTCTTTATTTTTTCTTAAACTCCGTGCCCAGTCAAACAGGTTCACATAAATTGGAACGGAGGGAGTAGTATTTTAACTTAGAGACAAACTGCAAGAAGATGGGTAATGGTAACTCCACTGCACTCATACAACAGAAATGCATTAGAAAAATAGAATGATAAAGTCAAATTAGACAGAATTGAGAAAGTGAAACTAAAACAAACAGATTGTTGCTGAGTTGTGAGTACCTAAAAGTTGCTGAGTACGCTGGTTATCAGATAAGAATGCTATATCAAGCGTTGTTGGATATTAGGTTTGGGTTGTGGGTCACCCATGTGGACCGACCCGACCCATTTTAGAAGAGATTTAACTTAAGGAGGTTACTAAGAGGTTTTATTACTCCTAAAAACTACCACACGTTATTTGAGAGATGTGAGAATGTGGAGTGGCGGTTTTCATCGGTAGTTTTTCCTCTATTCCTCTTCTATATATCTGTCCTACAGAAGATCTCTCAAGGGTGAAAAAACTTTCTCTTCTTCTCCCAACAAAACACACGTACAAAGAAGGAAGGCTTTAGTTTGTCAAATAAACTTTGTTTCCTGGTGATTCAAAATTCGACTTGGGGCAGTTCTTTTGGTGGTGAGTTCAACGATCTCCGCTGCGACAAAAAGGTACACAACTTGTTGTTCTCACTCCTCATTTTTTCTAACAAGCGTGCACCACAGACATTTGCATTGTTTTGATTGAATCTCATCTGGGTGTACTCCGCTCCATCATATCTTCCTCTGTATACCTCCCTACTTTCTCCTTTAGTTCTCGATTTCTCTCCGTAGATTCTCATTCTGTCAATAACAATGCTTCTGATGAGGCTTTCTGTATTATTGTATTTTCTTTCTTCAATTTGACTTTTTATTACGTAACAACTGCCATGTTGAATGTACTTGTCCTACTTTAATCCAAGCTTGGCCTTTCTTTTCGTTTTTAGGTGGAATGAGGGTTGTACTGGAACTACTGCTTTTATTCTTCTTTCGTTCTCTTGTTATCTCTATCAAAATTTCTGCTGGCGTCTTCTCACTTTTGATGGTGTATTGCATTTGGTAGATGTATGGTTTTGCATTGATAGTAGGGTTAACATTTCCAGGTTAACTGACTTTTAAATTGCTAAAGGTCAATTTCTGTCTATTGTGAATTTGTGATGTTCTGCATGTTAATTTTGTAATACAAGCTTTCAACTAGCTGAGTTAGGTCTTTGACTTCTTACTTTCTGCAATTTTATTCAACAACAATGTATACACTGATGCAGTCTTAGGGGTTGATTATCATTTCAGTACTACTATTTCATTAGACTCATGGGACGCGAGGTTAGTTTTATCTCTACAATGATAAGGCCGATGTTGCAGTTAGAACATGGAGCTTCTTACATTTTCCAAATGTTCATGCTTAAGAAGTGTTAACTGATCTTGCAGGTAATTCTTGTCTTCATCAGAGAGCAAGACCTGTCAAAGCATTAGCGATAAGCTACATTCTGAAATAACAAACACGATATGGTTTATTTTGTTACAATGGTGTAAAATATATGTACTTCAGCTGAATATTACACTCTTTATGCTGACAAATAGTATTCATCGAACTGAAAAATGCTATAATTTGAAGTGTTTGGTGCTTGTACGGGCCGATCCTATCTAGTATTATATATTTCCTACTATTTAGAAGCGAGAATAAGGAGCTCTTCGTCGTCCTCCTTTTACGGGTAATTACATGTATGCCCTTAGGTTTTCTTATCACCCTCAGTTACTTGGGGACATTTATGTAAATTTATTCTGTTCTTGGGCGGTGGTTGATCAGCCCTCCTTGATCTTTTGCTCCCCCTCTCTCTCTCTTACTATTGATCTTTTGCTCCCTCTCTCTCTTACTATTTGTTGCTGTGACGACGGCGACCATGGTGTAACAGACATCAACGGAGATCAGCATGCGTGGGAATGAGTATTAGCATGGTGTAACTTGGCCAGAGTTATGTCACCGATGACTGGACAACCATGATAAATATCAGACTGTTATCTGGAAACGACTGGAAACTCAAAAAAGAAGCGGTCGAGGCTGGTAAATGGTGCTATTGAACTACTATTGTCGATTTTGACGGTAATTTGTTTTTTCATACCGAAATTATTCAGCTTTGAGTATCTTGTGGGGTTTCAGATGCCATATTTTTTCTCTCGTTTTGAATATATAATTCGGCGTAATTTCACAAAAAACTAAGGTAAATTGGTGTAATTTTACTTTTTTCAGAAAGTTAGCATCTCTGCTTATGATGTGTCCTCATTAACCAACATGTAATTCTCCAAATTTCATTTAAGGACCTTTTACGGTTAAAAGAATGATAATTTCTTAAAGAGATTTGCAAATTTCTTTGGTTTCAATCATTATTCAAAAGTACTTGCAGTGGTGCCTATTGCATTTGCAATTTGATTTGTTTCCATAGGCTGAAAGCAGATTGATTGTGTTTTTCTTTTTGTGCCTGCTCTGGGAGGTCGAGAGGTGCTTCATTATTATGTTTTATCATAGTCATCCGACACGTGGCTAACAGTGGCGGATCCAGAATTTTCATGAAGGGGTGTCAAAATATAAATAATTAGATACATCGAAAAGTCAAGGGGAGTCAACGTATAGTAAATATACATAAAATAAAAAAATTTATCTAGCAAAATAGTGTAATTTTCCGGCGAAAGGGTGTCACTTGACACCCCTTGCTTCGATGTGGCTCCGCCACTCGTGGCTAACATCATTAAATAGTGTGACCAGGTGAGATTTCTAATTAGAAATTTCACTAAGATGGCCCATAAAGTAAACGATTTTTTCTTAGTACATTATCTTCACTTGTTGTTGTATTCATTCTCAAATACAGAACTTCCTTCTAATTAACACTTGGATAACTCATGATATGGTAAGATATCTGTTGTTTACTCTTTATTATGTCATGTTGGGTAACACTTCATTTAAATTATTTAGACATAGCAGTGATACTAAGTATTTTGGAGACTTCAACCAGTAGTAAGATTTTTGTTTATACTCTCAAGTAACTGAGATAGGCCGTAACATCAATCAAATAGTAAGATTTCAAGTTGATAGTAGTGGTAGTGAATATAGTAAGGAATATAGATATCAACAGAGTGTGAAGAAATTTCTTAGAGGGAGGAGTGAGAGACATTTAAAAATAACAAGTTCTGAAGTTTAAAAGTGGAGTTGAATACCCAATCCTTATAAGAACTGACACCATTTTTCTTGTGTTCTCCTTCATTTCTGTGGAAGGAGTTCAAATTATATTACTATATGCAAGTACTTGATCACTTCAAATAAAGACGCATAATCTATTCAAAGTATTGGGGTGGCTCTACTTTAGAATCCCACTTCTTCTTAACTTCCTTATCGTTATACATATCTTTGACAAGTATTTTTGTTTGGGATGTAATTTAGGTTATATTCAAGTAATTGTCCTTCTAATTTGAACGAGTTTATTTGATTTTACATAATGTACTATAACTTAAAGAATGAGTCAGACCTCTCTATAACAACATCCCTATATAACAACATTTCACTATAAAAGCCAAGCTTTTCCGGAACCAATTTTCATGTTATATTATACTATATGTTCTCTATAACCGCACTTTGCTATAACATCCAAAACTATTCGGAAAAAGGAGGTTGTTATAGAGAAGTTTGACTATACTTAATTTTTAGATGATCATTATTTTCGCTGTAACAGTTGATTAGTATAACTGATCATGTGAGTGATGTGCCTCCAAAAGAGAAGTACCGGGGTACCTTTTGTTTGTTGTTTCAAGTCTCGAAGAAGATATGGATTCAATTAGCTCACGAAAATGAAAATGAATAACATTCCTCTTCCTTGTTTAATGGCGGTAACAGATAGTGATTAGCATCAAATGGCTAACAACCAAATGAATGCTTCACTGCTACTATGGTAACACATTCATGGACACTGAGAAATAAGATATTTTATTGTATAAGTGACTACTTCCTTCAAAATAAGTTTCATGAGGCAATTATTCCAAAAAGATATGGGCAATTTGGAAGAAAGTGTGACTGTTGTGGTGCTCAGCCAGAAGAGAACTTCCCAGCTCTATGGGAATTGAATTCAGACCAGTACTATATTTTTGGGAGGTGGTCAAGTCTAGCTGCAAAATATTCTAGGTTTGCATGATCTTATATGAGTGCAACTCTATTGCCTCCCCTATATAGTTCTGTTTGTAGTAGAAAATTTCAATAATTAATTTTTTTTTGTTATTGAAATGTTTATATTTATCGGTCTCGGTAATTTCTTAGACAGATTGTTATGCTATGCTTTTTGAGGTGGACTGCACGAGTATAAAGATGAAAAGAAGAAGATGCAGACAGATATTATAAAATGGGAGAACGTATAGGAGTCCGCTCTAAGCGAGCTGATGATGAGACCAACTTTTTGTTGGAGGTTTAAACGGATGACTAAATTCCATTTCATTCGAAATGAACTACATGACTCTCGCTAACTGCATCATTTTCTTTAGATAAATGATTATTAGCTTTTAGAGTGGATTTTTCCTCGGCTCTATTTATTGTCGTGATTGTTGTCTTAGTCAACAAGATGGGAAACTTTCTAGAAAAAAACTTACAAACTGGGAGGATGATCCTCCCCGTGAACTGACTGGATCCCCAATTAACACGGGTGAACAAATAGAGTATAGTAGGATGCTTGGGAAAATCACTTACGTACTGCGACGTGCAAACCTACAGCGTGCCTGGTGAGTCACCATTAATAATTGACTTAGAAAGGTGAACGCCTTGGCTAGAAAAGCGCGGTGAATAAATATTTGGTAAACAACATATTCTTTTTGAAGGTAGAGGGACTTGAACCCTACAATTTGGAAAGTCCTGATTTCAGCTTCTTTACCTAGCTGATTGTATTTGTAATAGCTTTTTTGTATCCTTCCTAATAAATCCAATGTTCTCAAAGGGACGTGTTTGTAATAGTTTTGACTAAAACCATAAATGCTTCGCTTGAATGGATTATTTATATTTGCATTATATGTTGCAAAGTTTTTTGTGGTGTTTTTAAATTATTTTTATTTCTTGTGCATTTCGTGTGTTTGAATCTATCTGTTGACACTTCCTCAATGCTGTTTGGTTGCTTTCTCTCTCAGCAAATGTTAATATTTTTACTATTTTTGTTGTGTCACTGACTTCTTCTGAGCACTTCCTGCAAAAATTAAAATTGCTTTGAGAACTCTAAAAGGACTGCATAAAGGGATTATTTAGAGATAATCTTGGTCTTAACAATGAGGAGGAGATATTTAAGCAAGAAGGTGGATATTTCAAGAGACCAACTGATGAAGTGATCACAAGGAGAAGAATAGTTAAGTTCATTGCCATCAAAAGGCATCAATTACAACCGCTCCTTCATCTAACCCTTCTTACAGGGATCCACTCAGTTCCACCTACTGGTACCATATCACTTTAAAAGTGCAGTAAAAAGACGGACAAGCTAAGACTTAGCAATTATTTTCTCAAGAATCTGGTGTCCCCTTGCTGAAGTAAGAAAAAAGAAAAAGAGATCCAATATATTCTATTGTTGTTAGGTTCATCGCTGTTACACTGTAAGTTTTGATATTTTATGTCTCTTTTTTTCTTCCTCTAGTGGAATCAGCCACTAATGCTTCATTTGAGAATGTTGCTTACATCACACTCCTTGGGTGCGATTCTTCCCCTGACACTGCGTCAATGCAGGATGCTTTGTGCACTAGGTTGCTCTTTGTCTGCTTTCTTTTTTTTTGGGTCGTGCTGATTGATCTTTTTGGAGATTCCAAATCAAAATGGTCCATGGATTGGTAATATCTTTTCATAGATGCACGACTTTGGAGAATAAGAATTTTCTTATGTGACAGTTAGGTACATGTCACAGATTTAAACCTCGCCACGCCATAGGCAAAAGCCTGGTATTAAAGTGTATAAGGGGGTGATACTCAGACATTATGCATATCAATGACAAGTATCTCTGAAATTGGGATGTAATTTTAGATTATATTCATTTGGTATTTCGTTTGAAATCATACATATTTTTTTCTTAGTGATTTTTGGTTGGTTGTTTTAAGTCTCAAAAAAGATATTGATCCAGTTAGATCGTATAAATAAAAGGAAAAAGAATCATATTCCTTGTTTAATGCTGGATCATATCGAAAATAGATACTGATTGGTGATTGAGCTTTTCGACATACACAAATGGATATCAAAATAGAAGAAGATTAATACTGTTGTGGTACTCGGCCAGGAGAGGATTTGCCAGCTCTATAGGAAATGAATTCAGACCAGCATTATACTTTTGGGAGGCATGAATCAAGTCTAGCTGCAGAAAACTCGAGGTACACATGATCTTTTACGAGTATAATATCTATTGCCTCTATGTTCTGTTAGTAATAGAAAATTTTAATAATTAAACTCCTTTGTTATTGAAATGTTTATATTACTGATGTCAGTAATTTCTTAGACATACCATTATACTATGTTTTTTGAGTTGGACTATTTTTATGAGTATAGAGATGAAAAGAAGATGCAAAATCTCTTTATAAAAAAGAGAACCTGTAGGGTGCCGTTATTGGTTTTTTGGTTCTGTGGCGTAGACCAGAGAAATAAATGTATAAATAAGTTTAAAAGTTGCTCCAAATATTTTCTTGGTTTCTTCAACTTGTGTGCAAATTCTTGGAAGCCAACTCAAATTTTGGATGGGCAAAGAAAGGAAGGTATAGATTCAGCTTGGAACATCAAGATCTCTGTCTTGTTCCTCCTCTATTCCATATTATTTTTACTGTTTGAAGGTCAAAACTTTGTCGAACAAACATTTTAATATCATAAAATTTATGCTAATCCGCAAGGATTTCATTGTTTTTATGTTCATCTTTCACTGTAAGCCTGGCTTGTAACCATCTCAGTAATATGAAGGTCAAATAATTCTGATATATGTTCCCACTGCAAAATTTTGAAATATTTTTCGGAGAATGTACTTCCTTGGTGCTTTTGTGAGGAGACTGCAACTTCAACCGTCGTTTTCTTGAGCCCTAGGGTCCTCACTGGTTTGTTTATTGGTGCCATGAAACGGATATTCTTGGTTCTTATAGATTAGTGGTCAAAGAGACTATTAATGATTCAATAGATCTTTCTACTGAAGTAGTTTAGATAGACGATGATGTATTTGTGTTGTTCTTGTGTAGGCTTTCAAATGTAATAAGTACTAAATTTGAAGTCCTTTTTTTAACTATTAAAACAATTTTTTGTCTTGCGCTTTGATAACATAGTTTGTTTACATATTTAATTTAGACCACAGCCCACACTTCGTGTAGAAAAAGCCTACAGTTTGAACTTCTCACAAGATCTCTTCATTAAGCTAATAGTACACTATGAAAAAAATTTACTAAATAATATAAATTGCTCACTTAATAGGTTTGGGCCCGGGCTCAGCACGGGTCATTTCTCACTAGTACTTATATAGAAGAGCGCAGAAGCAGCTCTCCGTCGACATCCCTGCTTGCCATAGAGGACAGCTTGGTCTTTTTACAATTCTATGCTAGGTAGAATTTCTGTTGTGCCCCTATGTCTACTCTTTTGTGCTGTTGGGTGAAGTTCTAAATAGGTAATTTCCGCTCCATCTCTTACGGCCACCGCTTAATAATTTGCTTTTCGCGCTCTTCCCTTGTCTAGAATTACCTTGGCTTCTCCTTCTTCATCGTTTAAACTCTTTGTGTCTAAAACTGAACATCAATTTCTGAAATATAAAGTGATACTTAAATTGGGGTTTCTACTGCGTCTTTTCACAATTTCATAGTTGCTCCATTAAGATCGTGTAGTCGAACGGTTAGTTTTTACTGTTCTATTTTATTTTCTTTTATTAGTACTGTGATTGTTTTATTTTCTTTTGTGTTCGAAATGTCTTTCTAATTTTATCCTGATTTTTGGAACTCAAGAAATTCCTTGAAAAGAAATTCGGGTTTCCGCTGATTATCTGACCATTCTCCGTTTTTGTTTGTAGTTAAAGATTTGGTCATTTTGACCAAGAGTTAACAACTGAGGATTTTAGAATATATGAGCTTGTGACTGACTTGGATTTCAGCCACTATTTTAATCTGATTCTGATATATTTCCATTTTGTTATCCTGAGTTTACATGAAAAAAACGAGTTCATTATTTGGAGCTTTTTGTGTTATCGCTGCTTTTTTTCTAGATATCGTAATTTTAGCTTCATAAAATTTACTACTAATCTGACTGATGCTTGGAAAATTTAAAAGCTAACAATAATCTAACTAGGTGGAAGTATATCATAGATGCGATGTTCTATAATTAAGAACAAACACGTTTTGTAGAGAAATTAACCAGAAGAGTTACTTAATCATTGGAGTTGTGTTATATAGATAGTTGGTAGTAGTGTTTAGGTTTGTTCAAATTTTCATTACTCTTTACTTTTGAATTTTTCTATAAAATTTTATACTTTGATAGAATTAGGAAAAACTTACCTAATGAAGTAAATCCAAAAGGTTTAACTGATTACTGTAGAGTATCGACTGCAGTTAAATGTAATATATGAAGAATATGTCTGCCTTTCTTTGTGAATTATGAAATTACATACTTTATATTGACTGTCCACTATCGTATTTCTTTTTCAAAATGATGTGATTATGTTTTTCTTGAGCTGAAGGTTTATAGAAAACCGCGCCTTTACCTTCACAAAGTGGGGGTAAGGTCTGCGTACACAGTACCCTCCCAAAATATTATTTATAGGGTTACACTGGATATATTCTTTTTGTTGTTGTACAATGACTTTGTAGTTGTAAGAGACTAGGTGATAAAATTTCTTAAAATGTATCTTTACAAGTACATATTCTGTAAATAAAAATAAAAACAAGAAAAACGAGAGCCCTTCTTTCTGGGTGAGTATCTGCAACAAAATATTGAATGTCTAAGTAGATTTTGCTTCGCTTTCGATATTTTAGACCAACAATTTTAATATGCTCTTTTGTGGTTATTTGATTAATAGTTGTGTTGTTATATAGTTATTACTAAAAGCACTCTACCATCTGCTTAGAGTATAGAACTTTAGGGAAAAAAATTACATGATATAAGTAATTTTGAAAACTATTTGTAAAGCTCAAATACAAGTTTATGGAAACAGTTAGGCATCACTATTGGTTCAATTCTGCTATATTTGTTCTCTAGGTCATGAAAGGTGCATTATGATTCTTTTTGCAACGTCTTGCTTATCATAATGTATATCAATAGCTATCCCCTCTATTTCATGATGATTTTACATCTCATTGTTGATATTGATCTAATGGCTGAATATTTGAAATCTCTACCTTTGAGGAGTTAATTTTATCCATGGTCACTGAACTTTTGTATTTGTTATCCAAAAGTCACTTTTTTTTTTTTGTTACGTAAAAATCATTGAACTTTGTGTTCATTACACAAAAGTCACTTTTCTTTCTTTTGTAACACAAAAATCATTTTACTTTGCTCTAGTTATCACAAAAGTCACATTTTTACTTGAAAAGTCTATTATGCCCTTGATATTATATAAACCTTCATATTTATATAATACCTTCTATATTACATAAATTATTAAGATGTAAGAATTAAAATTCCTGTATAGATTTGTGTGTTTGTATGTAACATTCTTGACCATGTGACTATTTGTGATTTATCTCCCTGTTCGTTTTTGTATTTAAGTGAGCACTTAATAAAGTTATTTCAGTTTGTTACTTTAATTTGCCGTACGTCGAACGCTGCATAACCAATTCCAAAATCAACATTAAACAAGATATTGATTTGTTATATTTTCAGGATAAGCTTTTGAATATTGTTAGATTGCTGCGCCAGGGGGCTGCTGTTGAATTCAGATTTCCTCTCTCTCTTGGAACTTATGTGCTAATTTTCAGTTCAGTACAGTTGAGTAGAAACTAGGAATTTATTCAGCGAGCACCCTATTTTCCTTGTCAAATTTCTTTCTTCTCTATGCCCCACCTATGAGATGGATGGAGTTTCTATTTTTCTCCTTAATCAGATGAAATCAAAATTTGGATGTACGTAACTCGTGTTCTTCTGTATTACAAATCAAATGGCAAAGTGGTTGTTAGATCTAATGAGAGGGATCGGAGTAGTTAGTTATCCATTCTTTAGTTTGACCTTGTAAACATGATGGGTGCTCAATAATTTGATCATTATATATACAACTATTAAATGTTGCATATCTTTTACCTTGCAATCAAGTGTACATGGCTAAAGAAATTACAACAGGGAAATTTGTGGCTTTGAAGACGATGATACACACGGACAACGAAAGAGAACGTTGGGCTTATTTTAGTATGATTTAATTTGCATTTGGTTAATTCCTTCAAACTCTTGTCTTATGCAGTTTCCTATAACTCGTATACCTAAAACTAAAATCTTAAAGTAGCTGCATCATGAAAATGTTATTCAGCTGAAAGAGATTGTAACATATATAGAAATAGTATACATACTTCATCTCGTGTTATTCTACTGTTTACTAACTTCCCTTTGTTACGTTAACTTAAAAGTCACATATAAAAGTTATGTCTTCTCTTTTTGTGGTTTTTCCCCCACTAATAAAAAGAACCATACAAAAGTTTTGTCTGCTTAAATTAATGATATCTTAAAATTCATTTAAAAACAAGAAGCCCAGATTTAAGCTTTCCATTTTTTCTTAATGGTCGTAAGGCTAGATAATTAAACAAGGAACTTTGAGACACTGTTTTTGCTGCATTCAATAGTTATATCATCACTTCCTTACTTGGAAAGAATTAATGAAAACAATAAAACAGCTTCAAAGATTCTCAATCATTTATTATAACTAAATCTGCTGTTTTTTCTTTTTATTGTGCCCAATAGCATTTACATTTTACAGGAACCCATAAAAAAGGTTGCATATATTTTTTTTATAGAAAGTACCCGCAATGATCATTTGTGACATTATAATAATAGAAAGAGTAAGAGGCAAATATTTTTGCTAGCCAAATACATTTTCTTTAATATGCCTTCAGGTGCTTTATGGAAAGCTAAGCTCTGATGGTAAGCAACCTCCACTTCCAACCAAGAGGTTGTGAGTTCGAGTCACCTCAAGAGCAAGGTAGGGAGTTTTTGGAGGGAAGGATGCCGAGGGTCTATTTGGAAACAGTGCAGACCTCACTAGTGGGATTATACTGGGTTGTTGTTGTTGTTGTGCTTTATGAAAACAAAGTTATAGGATCAAAACAAGTATGCTATTAATATCGTGTCTTCGTAATACTCAAAGGAGTAAATCTGCCACCTCCTAATCAAGGGTATTCAAAATCGTGTACTCAATATTATAGTTTAAATTTTCAAGTTACCACAAATAATTGTATATTTGACAGTACTTTGGTTATGATAGTCCAATTTCTTATTTATAGATGGAGCACTATTCCATTGGCACCAGAACACTTGGAAGAAAAAAAACAAACGAAACGCTTAATATGTTCGCACGGGCAATAGTAAATAAATAATAGTAGTAACTCCATTTAGTTTTCATTTTCTATAGTATACAGATATAAAAAGCTCTAGCAAGTTTTGTTGATGGGGACACTCGATGAAAGGTTTGACATATAAAATGTTTCCGCGACGTCTACTTTCAAAAGTTTTTCTCTCTAAAAGAACTCCTGAAACAGTATCTTCCTAACATGGATCCCCCATTAATCAAACCACCTATCCCACTGGAACCTCTGAATAAGCACAACCAAATGGATGTAGAATTACCAATCCACTCCTATAAGGAAATGCTCTTGGACAAATCAGAGAGCCATCAAACTGATTACTGTGAAGTTGACTCTCATCCAAATTCAGATCTTGATAAAGGGAAACACATAGAAGGCTCAATTCCCCTTTCCTAAGATGACAAAAAGCACATCTACCTTCCATAGGTTACTCCGTGATCATTAAGGTCTTCAAGCGAAAGATGCCTCACTATTTCCTTTGGTCTAAACTAATTGAACTATGGAAGCCATCCGAACAGTTAATCTTGATTGATCTAGGATGGAACTTCTACATAGTCAAATTTAGTTTAGAAGAGAGTATGCTTAAGGCTCTCCACCTAGGCCCTTGGTTCATCTCTGAAAATTTCTTATCCGTGTGGAAATGGGAACCAAAATTCGTTCCTCAAGAAGCCACCCTTACTTCTACTGCCATATGGATCCGGCTTCCTCAATTACCAACAGAATTCTACGATAAGGACATCCTAGAAAAAGTTGGAAGGAAACTGGGTAAATTATTAAAAATCGACCAATGCACTTCCTCTACTCTCAGGGGACGATATGACTGCATTTGTATTCAAGTGCCACTGGAAACCCCAGTTGAAACGTCGGTCATAATAAGAGACCATAAACAGGCAGTGATCTATGAAGGAGAAGGGACTTTGTGCACCACTTGCGATAGAATTGGACACATTGCAGCAGGTTGCAGTTACCGAGAAGCCACACCCAAAACAACTCAAGAGCCTCAGGAAGCGCAGCAGAGGAAAGTAGTACAGACGGAGGAGAGTGAGTGGAAAACCGCCACCTTCCCAAGAAGAAGGAAGCAAGGGCTAGCAAAATCAACAAACAAAAATGGCGCAGGATTGAACAAACCACACCAAGCTCCGCAGGCTGACAACATACAAGTAAATTTGTTCGATGCTAACTCAGGTAAATTCCTTCAAACTCAAACTCTGCGTTACAATTCGAAAAAAGTCAACCCCTCCCAAAATCCCCAAAAAAGGCCCAATGGCCCAATGAATAACTCTAGCCCCACCAAGCAACAAGGGCTGACCCAACAAGGACCGAAACCCAATACGCGGGCCCAGCCCAGTACAAGTGCCAAACGGAAGGCGGGGCCCGGTCCTGACGACTCCACTGACCCCAATCATGAACCCCTCGTTCAAGACACCTTTTTGAGCCCATCTCCCGAGATTCCTCATCCCAAAGATGGAGAGACACCCAATGGGGCCGGTATCTCTTCTCCAAATGGGTACCACTCCCAACCCACGCTTGTCAGCCCATCTTACCACCCAAATACACTCACCTACGCTTCCCCTACCAATCCTTCCGAAACAATCTCTAATGGGAAAATACCAACAGTCGCCACCAACAATCAAGTGCCCTATCGGGTATCCCCCCCCCCCCCCCCCC